GTGTCGGCCTGGGTATTTTCAATGTATATTATTTATGTATTTACAAAAAAAATCGAAGTGTTTATATCAATTGTCTAGTACCCAAAACACAAGCTCTGCTTATCTTGAGACTTATCTTTGATGGTATCGTGTGAATTTTCCTAGGGTATTAATATAAAAGTTTTTATCTGTCAGAATTAGTTAAATCTATAATTAGAATCTAAATCTAAAATTCATGTACCTATAATAATAAAAAATTGACAACAACATAGGCGGGGAAATAGCTAATCTAAAATCGCTTTAAGTTATAATAATAAATCTAAGAAACATGTCTCCCAAGACAATGCAACGTGAAATGTCCGACATAAAACTGACCGCAATGCGCCTGCGCATACTTATGACAGATAATAACTTATTATACGGATGCGTGGCAGTAATGGTAAGTTTTTAGATATTGACTGAAAGGCATTGTAATTGTGGTTACAACAGTTATATAGTTTCAAGAATAAATAACCCGCAACATGAGGTTGATGTCGATCGACTTAACTGTAATGTAAAATAGACTATTACTGTAATCGTTGACTATAGACTTGAACAGCTTTTATCTAATGCCCCTCCGATCGATACCCCATCCAATTCAAACGGGGTTCGAAATTACGACGGTCTGAGCCGAGGTTCAAATCTAGCGATGCCTCAGACTAAAGTCGAATCCATCAGACAGGAGTTAGCCTTCAGCAGCTTCGTAAGTTTCCGCAGATGGAGTATTAAGGATTGGATTTAAGCCTATGTGCAGTAAATTTAGTTAGGATAAACTTAACTGCACTATTAGGGACATTAGAAGATTTACAGCTAGTGTCATATTTCGGATTTTAGCAGCAGAGATTATAGCAGTCGAATGTCAAATATTTCTTCCTTCGGACTATCAGAACGTCACTTCAGTACGTAATGTAAGAAGCACAAATTATGAGGGACGACTGAGGCTTTGAAGCCAGCTACCGCAAGGGAAACCCCAAGTAGCGCCCGTGACTTGTTACACGGGTGTAGGTTTAAAAGGCCCTTTTAAAATGCATTAACACTCACCTTCACTACTTGCAGCTTCCCCCCAGGCCCAACTAAGACCGGGATAAACCCATTGCTAATACAATTCACTTTTGTATCCAAAACACAACCGGCACGCTCAGCGCTCGTCGACTGAATGCCGCGTCTCACGCAACGAAAGAGGATTATTCAACTACCGACCTCCGTATTTATAGACCAAAGTCAGTGTAGTAGGTTGGTCTATAAATACTAGATGGCGTTATTTACAATATTCGTAATAATCTTTACATTGGGTACTTCATTAGTACTAAAAACAAACTACCTTCTTTTAATATATTTTTAAAATATCGGATTGTTTCTACAATAATGATGTGAATTCTAACAGTAAGTACTAGACAATAGAGTCTATTTTCTCTCAAAAATTTTAAATAAATATGGTCATGGTCATGGAATTTCGACCACTGACCGACCACTAGTTAGCAATTACGGATTGACGATTCTAAGAGGTACTTCATCTTTTTTCAAGCCTTGAATTGAATAAGGACATTAGCCATTCGCGTGGTCTTATTCGAAGCATTTAGCGGTGTCCATATGCCGAAGATAAAGACCTATTCACAGTGACCGTCATTGACCATTCCTAATTTAATTTTTAATAATTTATTATTACTATTAACTATTGAATGTACCTTTGGGAGACGATCTTACCTAGTGGTTTTTCATACATGGGATTTTCGATATTTTATAATATATAGAGTTTTAGATAACGAAAGGTTCAAATAATAGTTATGCTATTCATTGTACGCTTCGTTATCAGTGTGTTACGGCCTCTGATTAGAATTTCATTTGAACAAAATGCATATGCTGGTCACTACATTCTCCCTAATTGAATTTAAAAATTAGGAGCCTGTAATAGACCTACATAAATAAGGATATTTTGATTTTGATTTTATTTTTCATATAAAGAAATTGATAAAAGAATATATCAAAAATAAATATCTGTTGACTAGCTGTGTAATTAGTAGTTCTTCTCAACCGAAGAAACATATAGAATTTATAATATTTATCTGTATACGATATAATTATGTACATAACTATATGTTCCACCATCAAGTTGATGCATTGTTGATGCACTGCAAGACAAGCAACATGAACATAAACATCAAACACTCGTCAATATCCAAGTTCACTACTTTGTCACTTTGTACAAAGTCGACATTAAACAATAATATTTACGTTCGCATTAAGAATTTTTTTCCCTTAATTTAAATTTCTCCCAACCGTTCAATCTGGATCGGGTATTAATCGTTTAAAATTGAGTGATTTACTGTGTCGTTCGCAAGACAGCTAAACGATCGGCCGTCATTGTCACAGTTTGCTTAGCTTTTTTAAGTCCCCGTTTCCAACCAATTACCTTTCCGTACTGTGGACATTTTACTTTTTGTTACAACCGACGGTTTCATGGATCTATGACTACAATTTTTCCCTTCAACAAATAGAATAATGAGCTTAGTAATCGTTTGTGTTTGTACGTATTTTACGAGAGAGAATATTTGTTATAATTCTACTTGAAAGTATTTATGCGGCATATTATTTAAATGATTATAATAATAATAATCTTAGGACAATTCACACAGCGCCATCTAGACCCAAGTTAAGCTAGCTAAAGCTTGTGTTATGGGTACTAGACCACTGATACAAATACATAGTTTTTTCTTTTTTCGTAAATACATAGAAAATATCCAGACCGATACAAACAATCATACTCATGAATACAAATGTTTGTGCCGTGCGAGGAATCCAACCCGCGACCATCGGACGTAAAGCGGTGTGCTAGACCGCTAGACCACTGAGGTCGTATATATTACTGTGGCTTTATTTAATGATCTTTTTAAGATATACAATTGCGTAGTACATTTATTTGACCTATCTCGTAAGGTGTAGCCAGCGTTTGCGATAAACGCATAAAAATATGTTACGACATCACATTACAAATCTTTGAATTTTTTGCTTTTCTATATTATAATATAGGTATAGATTTGAAATTCAAATTTTGTTAATGCACCGCCTACATGAATCTCTGTTCGCCCAATGGATGACTGGGAGAAAATGCCTCGAGGTGTTAAGTCCGGCATGTGCACCTTTATTTATTTATTTATTCTTTTAATAAATAAATAAAATAAATATATATAGATTATATATTGTTTTAAATTTGACGCTGTCATTATTTATACTTAATGCCTGATGGCATTCTTACCAGTCATATTTATTTGCCGACGCGTTGATCAGAGATATACGTGTAGCGTATATAATTATTATAAAATATAGATTATAACGTAAATAGAAATCATTTAATACAGAAAAAACATTATATTTATATAGGTATATATATATATATATAAACGTACAAATATACTTCTAAAATTATATAATTAAAGCGAAATATATAAGCTTAATAATTATCATACAATTTAAATATAATATTAAACTATAATAAATATACATTTATGTATTAGTGCATTAATACACACGGGACGTTTTTTGGCAGGTAGCTGATGTAATAAGGAGTAACTTAGGCTACTTTCATTTTAGAAAAATAATGTAAAATTCTGCGCGGACGAAGTCCAAACGAAGTTATAAAATGCCGTAACAAATAGTATATTTAAATAAACGACCGCTATATCGAGATTTACTCGGCTATATGCTATTTATGGTGCTTAATTGAATGTTATGTCTCACATTGACTTAATTGATATTTCATTGCTGATATTTAGCAAATTGATAGCGAAATTTAATACAGAAATTTACATACACGTGTAATTACAATATTTTAAATAAGTAGGTTTAATATATATGTATTGAATGAAAATTAATTAAAATAAATTAGTACATTTGATGCAAACATTTTAGATGTATTTAAGGTTGAGCTTTGGCAGTAATACCTACCTTTATATCCTAAGGTTAGCTGGGAGAGAATGCCATACGACATTAAGCTCGCCTGTTGTACAAATTTTTTTTTTTTTGTTCAATAAAGAATAAATAAATAAAATAAATAAAATTATAGAAGTTCAATACTTAATTTTGACTTGAAATGACGAAGTTTTGAGGGTTAATACCCTCAAAACTTCGTCATTTCATAATATAGCATCATAATATGACCACATGATGTTATTAATACTTACTAATATTATAAATGAGAAAGTAACTCTGTCTGTCTGTCTCGCTTTCACGCCAAAACTACTGAACCGATTTAAATGAAATTTGGTACACAGATTGTCTAGATCCTGAGAAAGGACATAGTTTTTAATGTAAACAAAGGGTGGTAAGGGGTTGAAAGGGGATATGACGGGTTCTATGGATGTATCGTCATTTTTACAACTAGAATTTTGAAAATTATTTTTCAGGCTGTTCATTAAATATGATTATGTTTGTAAAATTGTTACTCTTAAGGGGGTAAAAAATAGGGGATAAAAGTTTGTATAGAAAATAGTCATTTTTGAAGCTATAACGAGGTTATTTAGTTTGCTTTTTTGGGTTAGATTATTAAATGTTTTTTTCTATATTTGGTCAAGGTCACTATAACACGCGGACGAAGTCGCGGGCACATACAATATAAACCTACTTTACCATCGGGTGATCGGTCAGCTTATTTGCCATTCCAATTACTAAAATATATATATATATATATATATTTTGATTTATTAACTTTATCTAGACTTCGTTTTGAATAAACTGAAATAAATTATAAAATCTGGTTTCTTATATATATCTTGTTGCTATGTTACTCTATAATTTAACTTTCTACAGGTAAAATAATTATTACATTATTCAATACAAAATTATTACGAAAACTGAACTATCTCACGATTGTCCCTTCATTGCAAATACCAACCTCTTTATAAAATTAAGAATCAATTTTTTTGACCGAAAGCTTTCGCTGCCATCATCGAAGTTGCATCCATTAATCATACCTCTATCTCTTTCAGGTGGGCTGGTTTTGAGCTGTAAGTGCGAGCGGGATAGAAAGAGGTGTACGCAAAGCTGCGCGCGCGCAATAGCCTGTGGCGCCGCGCTGCGTCAGTTGACGGCAAACTCTCGAGCGCACTTGTTGTGTTAATTTTTTTGGAGTTATTGTTTTCCTATTAGAAAATTGTGGTGTTTATCTGTGAGTTTGAATATTAGTGCGCAAATGAAAAGTGACATACTGTACTAGTAGTGTAAGTGTTATCACTGTGTTTTTGTGAATAGTGTTCTGGTGAAAAATGTGCGAAGTTTTTTTCGTCACTGATGGATGAAGTGCATTGTTTAAAGCCTGTCGGATGTATCCAAGTGTTTTGTGCCGTTTTTGTTTGCTGTGACCAATATCATTGGATTTATTCAAGGTGAGGTTTCGTAATTAGTAGTTGTATTGACTTAATTGGACGTCGTATATCATATTTGAAATTTAGTTGCAAAATATTAGGTGTCAAAATTTTTATTGATTTTTAATGTAATTTATATATTTTTACAAGTATACAAATTACAGGAGGGATAGAAATATAAAAAAATAATACAATGTTAATATCGTTCGATAGATATATTAATATTTATAATTAAAAATAAAATTACATGCTATTGAGATTGTTCCAGTATGATATGGTAAGAAAGGGAGTAAATAACGCGATGACTGCGAACAGGGATGAATGAAAGCGAAAAACATATTACGCCGACCACCAATAAATGGGATAAGGAAGAAGCAGATGATGATGATGAGAATGTTACAGTACTAACTGATCCGCGTAACTTCTGCATTTACTTGACATTTATCATTATATTTCACACTGTCTCCATAATATCTTTTTAAATTATAGCCTATGTGTTATTTTGATGTTTAAGCTATATTACTAGAAAGTTTCATCAAAATCCGTTCATTAATTTATGCGTGAAATAGTAACATTTAACCATCTATATCGACAAACTTTCACGTTTATAATATTAGTAAGTTTTTTGATATATAATGGTCAAATTAGAGTAGCATCTCTAATTTGACCATTATATATTCAAAAAACAATCAAACACTGATGATTAGATTTGAACTGACAACCTTTAAAGTCGTAATCGGAGTTGTAAACGACTACGTCACCACTCTCTATTTAATAAAAAATGTCTTAAAACCATGGTAGGTTTTTAAGCATTTTTAAGTAATATATCTTTTGAAGTCATTAAGTTATTATGTTCTTCTATAATTTTTATTTTAATAACCAGATAGACAGACGAATAAAATAATAATAGACCGGTTTTTGATTGCTTAAGGACTTATAAAAAAGGTAAAATATTTTTTAATAATTTGCGTTTTTTCTATTACAATAAAATTATATCCGCGGCGCGTATACATGTTTATTGGTGAGGATCTCCGATTGATCCTCCATCCAATTCAAACGTGGATCGAAATTATGACGGTCCGAGCTGAGTTTCGAATCGCTAGTGGTGCCCTCAGATTAAAGTCGTATCCATCAGGCAGGAATTGGCCTTCAGCCGCTCCATAAGTCCTTCCTTCGTTTGGAGTGCCATCTGCACTCGCCCTATCGACCTATCGTCCGGTGAATCTGTAAAGGCCAGGCTGATTGTTTTTCCCATTTTAAACAAATAACGTAACATTTGTCAATCCCTCACTTTCAACCCCCTAGGAGGATGAAGATTGGGTCCTGGGGGCAAGCCCAAGCATCGACTCCGGGGATAACAACGGGATTAAAAATTACTATAATCTAACTTATACTAGGGACTTTAACAACTAAATTAACTAGTTACTTCTATGCGCGTGTTAAATATATAGTGTACTTTATAAAGATAATCTAAATATATATAACTCAAAGGTGACTGACATAGTGATCTATCAACGCACAGCCCAAACCACAGGACGGATCGGGCTGAAATTTGGCATGCAGGTAGATGTTATGACGTAGGCATCCGCTAAGAAAGGATTATAATTAATTCTACCCCCAAAGGGATAAAATAGGGGATGAAAGTTTGTATGAAACTTTGTCAATTTTAAACCGATCGGGCTGAGACTTTGCATAAAGCTACTATGACGTAGGCATCCCCTAAGAAAGGATTTTTGATAAATTCCACCCCTAAAGGGATAAATTGACGCTAGTGAAGCCGCGGGCAAAAGCTAGTTAAAAAATAAATTGCATTTTGCATTTTTTTTCTAATAAACTATAAGTGTGCGAAATTTCATACTCCTTTGTCCGCGCAATTTTCATAAAAAGAATTACCACTTTTTTTCTTCACTATATGTTAGTTGTATCAGTGGCACTCAATGAGGAAATAGCCATTATTATTGCTAAAAGTTGCATATAGATGGCGTGATTGGTATCGATGGAATTCTTCATAGTTTTGCAAACGTTTTAAAAAACAAAACTGTGTTTTCAAAATAGTTTAATCCATTTTTAAAAAATTATATATACATGTTAAAATGAAATAATGCGTTTAGAAAAGTAATTTTCATATATTTACTCATTTTGTTATTTTCCATATATATATATAATCATGCTAATACGGGGCTCAATGTTTTCAAAATGCTTTCATAGATGGCATTGTTGTCATTTGTATCGGCCTAATTAAATGTCTTTTTTATATTTTCCAATAATAAGCACTTAATATATTATTATTGTAAATTAAACATATAAAAAAAGTTTAAGTAAATTAAAAATAGCCGAACAAGCAAATAATACTATTTCCAATAATACTTATGTATGAAGTGTTGTCATATTAAAAATAAATACATGTATTATCGATTTTTTTGAATAATCGATAACAGGATTTTATTACAGCGCATTATTCGATGATGCTTTTAATGAGTCGTTGTGAACAGTAAATTTTCATTATTTTGTATTAAGTATAGCAGTGTTCCGTTTCAAAGAACGGAATATAGTAGTACATTATTAGTGTCGTTGGTTATTTACATTTGTACTGAAAAATCGATTACATAATAATTTAAAATATCGAGTACGAATCGTAGCTGTCTTCGAATACTGGCAACTGGTAAGATTAAAATAGTTTTAAAAAAAAGAGAGAAATCGACCCTAACTCGAATACCATAAAGTTTATTTTCCTTTCTCATTAATATCATAGCAGTTTGTTTTTAACTTGCGTATGACTCTGTGGTATGATGTTTAACGTGTATTGTTATTGTACGGTGCATACATTTCAAAAATTATATTTTAATGTAGGTACAAACATTTCTTTCATACATTTCATACATGTCAAAAATTATCTTTTAATGTAGGTACATACATTTCTTTCATACATTTCATACATGTCAAAAATATCTTTTAATGTAGGTACATACATTTCTTTCATACATTTCATACATTTCAAAAATGAACTTTTTATGTAGGTACATACATTGTTTTCATACATCTCATACATTTCAAAAATTATATTTTAATGTACATACATTTCTTTCATACATTTCATACATTTCAAAAATGAACTTTTTATGTAGGTACATACATTTCTTTCATACATCTCATACATTTCAAAAATTATATTTTAATGTAGGTACATACATTTCATACATGTCAAAAATTATCTTTTAATGTAGGTACATACATTACTTTCATACATTTCAAAAATTATATTTTAATGTAGGTACATACATTTCTTTCATACATTTCATACATGTCAAAAATTATCTTTTAATGTAGGTACATACATTTCTTTCATACATTTCATACATGTCAAAAATTATCTTTTAATGTAGGTACATACATTTCTTTCATACATTTCAAAAATGAACTTTTTATGTAGGTACATACATTGTTTTCATACATCTCATACATTTCAAAAATTATATTTTAATGTAGGTACATACATTTCTTTCATACATTTATATATATCATAAATGATATATATATATATTTCATACATTTCATACATGTCAAAAATTATCTTTTAATGTAGGTCCTTATATTTCATACATTTCAAAAATTTCATACAATACATTTCTTTCATACATTTCAAAAATTATCTTTTAATGTAGGTGCATACATTTCACACATTTCAAAAATTTCATACAATACGTTTCTTTCATACATTTCAAAAAGTATTTTTTAATGTAGGTACATAACACCCCATGTCAGACCCCTTATATTTGGAAGAAACTTAAAAATAATGCCAAAAATATTAGATGAATATATTTTTAATACGAATATTGTTTTATTTTTGTTCATCAACTTTATCCCTCACTAACAATACTAGTAGTAGTACATAACCTGGTTTATACCGCTAAGATATACGAGTAATTCAGAATGTTATCAAGTTCAAAATAAGCACACATTACTTGCTTAGATAACAGAGTAATATTACTAGTAATAAAAACATTTGTAATACCCATATGTATACTACGTATGTATAGTAAGTACTTACGCTGCGGCGCCGTGAGACTCGTCTAAGTACCTCATCTACTCATCTACGCGCGGTAACCGCGCCGACCGACAATAGGAGCGCGCCTCTCGTGTTTCCAGAAAGTTCGCGACTAACGGACGATATAGTAGTAAGGCAATGAGTGTCCCAGTGATATCATTATAATATTTTCTCGTTAAATTTTATTGTAATATACACAATTTCGCACTAAATAACGTGTTACCCCGTTACACATTTCTAATAATGAAAAACCTAGACCGACCCTGTTCACTTAATCTTACAAGATCTGACTTTAAAAATTACGATATCCTCATATAGCCTTTCATTTCCCCTTTCAATACTTTTTCGCATTAAAAAGTAGCCTTTCTCAGGGTCTACATTATCTGTCTACCAAATTTCAATTAAATCAGTTCAGTAGTTTTGGCGTGAAAGCGAGACAAACAGACAGACTGAGTTACTTTAGCATTTATAATATTTGTAAGAATATCGCTATTAAAAATAGGGGTTGGTGAAAGACGGGTGAAAATTTAGGCGTGTATGTATTTTCAATGTAACATTATAAATAAATAAAAAATTGTCCATAATACAAAAAAATATTTTTTCGGGGTAGGCCACCCCTATGACTTAGGGGTATAAAAAATAGATAACAACCCTACCTCAGACCTGGCAAGTATACATATCAAATTTCATCAAAATGTGGGAGAAATATGGCAACTAACACTGTGATACAAAATTTATATATAAGATATAGCGGAATTCTCATTAGGTAAAAGAGGGGTACATCGTAGAATACATGAGGTATATACCAGTAAATTAATTGTAGCTAAAATCAGTCTCATACATATAACGATTAAAATAAAAAATCGTATAGCCCGATTTTGATACGTACGAGTATAAACGTATCAAAATCAGGCTATACGTATAGCGCAGACGCGTTACAACATATCAAAAAAATAGGCATGGAATGTAAAATAAA